CCGCGGTTCTGTAATCGTCATCATCATCACCATCATCATCACCATTATCATCATACACCATTTAGTGTTAAGTGTAAAAAGTTAAAAAGTTGCTCCCGCGTCCGATCCGGGCCTAGGGGATTGCTTTGTTAATGAGACAACTTCCTGGGCCTGCGGCATATGGTGGTAGGGTGGCCAGTTCCTTTCCACGCCGCCTCTGCTTCCCGAACTCGAAGTCAGGTCATTACTGCTGGAGGGGGCGAAAAAAATCCGTGTCCAAACCGAGACTTTCTGCTTCGTAGACGAGCGCACTAACCGTGTACGGCGTTCAATACGCTGTATTCGTATCCTTCCAGTAAAAATACATGTACAATGTCGACTCTGTACGTTTGTCCCAAATGGTAGTTCTAACGTTCACTGATGATATGAGCGCATCTGTGTCCCTGTTTGAATAACTTGCTACATCAAACTGTAGGCGTAAGTAAAGCACTGCTTTTTGTACATGTACAATCGCAACGTGAAAACAAGGTCACAGACAGCTTTGGATGGCCTTGGAAAGAGTGTAGTTTCAATTCCGCGAGAAATGTCAGTGCCGTTCCTCACTGGCGCGTCCTCAGTGACAGCTTTATGTGGGACGCAACGGTTTTTCTTTAGGGGATTCTTTTAATTTCACTGCCTTGGACAGTGCGCTTACGTGAGCGTGAGCGAACAGCTTTCTCTATGTGGTCCCCCTTATGCAGCAATGAATTCTAACGCCAACTTTTCACGCAGAGGTAGTCCTAAATGTCAATGTATCTATATATTTAAAAATACAGGAACATTGAAGAGACAAGACACCCAGTTTTATTGCACGTATGAATTATGACTGCAACAAATAGGTTGTAGTTGTAAATCAAGGCCCTTGAAATTAAGTGAACTGGACGACTTTTTGAGGCAACATGGATTCGAATAAATCCCCTGTATTGAAACAAAGTCTCCTTGTAGGCAAAGACAAAGTGAATAGTAAAATATCTCTGTGGCAACAAAGAGTAGCCGTGCATCAAGAAAAGCAGCTGATCAACCCATTTTCCGACTGGAGTGGTGCAACGCACAGAGCTGTTTTGGACAAGAATGACTCCAGATATGGGTGTCCTGTGGAAGGTTCCAAGACAGAATACAGAGGCAAGCTGGCAGGCACCCTGATTGGTGCAGAGATTGTAGAACTATGCCATGTCATCGCTGATCTTGGTAAGTTTATATATGCAACGTATTTATTCTTGAGTTTCATGTATGGTAGTAGCTATATGACAGGAAGTTATAGTGAAAAGGATTTTTTTAATGCACCATAATGTTGCAGAGTACTGTAGTGAGGTAGTAGGTATCCATCGATAAGTGCGATCGATGGTCTCGAAGAATAGAATAGATAAAAGATTCATTCAGACTTCGTTGAATTTGAATCCATTAAGACCGGGACGATTTAAAATTGGAATTTAGAAATATAGATCTTACAGTATCCAGACTGATTGAACTCTTTGTCTCTTCAGAATTGTTTTTCAGCACTTGGCTGAATTCAATTTTAGTTGGTCGAAGTGGAAGAGAAAGTCACTGTGAGTCACGTAGGCTACACATTTGGCTTAAGATTTTTCACCAAATAAAGCTACATCAGTGTTTTATATCCATTTTGAAAGGAAAATAATGTAGGATTAGAAAATATATAATATATATATATATATATATAGTCCAAAATGTCAATTGAGTTTTAATTTAAGACAGGTTATAATAATACATTGTAACCCAGATAATGAAGTCATCGGTCCTTATCTCCTATGGCAATTCATTACGTAGAATATACATATCTATGTCTAGACAAGCCTTTCAATGTCCTGTTGCCGAGGGGGGGGGGGGGGGGGGTAGTGTGGATATGGTTGTTACGCGTCTGTATCTCTGCAGATTTTTCACGCTCGAAACGCTTGTGTTTACGCCCCCTTCCAAATCCGCTCAGACACACACGCTAACAGCCACCTGACCAACCTGTCTTGACCCTGGCAACATCAAGACATTATTATAATTATTGCATGTCTTATGCGCGTGTCGACAATGCACGTGTTGGTGTGAAAGAAGGCTTCTGATTTGTCGCACAAGATGTATGCAATAGGCTAGGTAAGCGCTCTATATAATGATCAACGGTGCAACTGCGATCGATGGTCTCGCAGATAAGATTAATTCTGACTTCGTTGAATCCAAATTCACTTATTTATGTGTTCATTGAATCCGAGTTATTATGTTGATTTTAATTATTTTTTAAAACCCAGATCTCTGTCTCCTTTTGTTGAATCCGAATTAATTCAATTCGAGTTCCACTGTAAGTAATATGTAATAAATAATATTTTAGCGCACATTCCCACCCAACAACAACGAATTATAACCCCAGCAGACCTTGATCTATTACAGTTTAAATCTTATATACAGTGAAACTTGGATGCAATGAACTCGGATATAATGAAAAATTGCATTTAACTAAAGGATACTTTTGGTTCCATCGGTGTTTTGATTTTTGGTTCGGCTCTGGGGCTCCCCACCCGCCATCGAGCCCAACAAGGGGGTACATTACTCGGATAGCCGTAGCTGTTGCAGGGCTACCCCGGAGTTATACTCTTCATTAGAGTGTACAGGACCCTCCCGCCAAGACTGACCCAGGGACTGAAGGGTTTTCAGCTCCTGACTGATTGAGTGCCTTGGGCCTTGCTACTCTCCCGTCTAAGAGGAAAACCTTGGCCAAAGAGGTGTGTTGGAGAGGCACAGTCCGCAGACTGATCTCACCTCAACCGCCAGGTACCCGGTTTCCCCTCTGCGCGGGTCGCACCTCACGGTCAACGAGGCGCCCACTCTTTGGGATGGGTGACCTCTACTTTTGCTCCACATGAGGTCGACGGAGGAAGAAGAGATAGAAGAAGAAAGAAAGAGGGAAGGAGAAGAAGAAGATACAGCAAAGTAGGTGTCGCACCTGGATCCCAGAGGGTTCAGCTCCGTGTGCAACACTTCGTCATTGGCGGGGTTTCACCTCCTGCAGACGGGGCACTGTAAATTGTGAGGGTGTGACCAATGCCCGCCGGATTAATCTTCAGCGGGGGGAGACCACCCTTGAAACTAACACAAACATTCTGACTTTTTCATTCGTGTTGCCCTCCAGCCACCGTTCGGGCATCATATTTGGTCCTTGACGTGCGACCCTATGTGCCGAACCCTCTGCGCTGCTTCAGTGCCAGAAGTTCGGCCATAGCCAGTCGCGATGCCGACACGCAGCCGTGTGTCCTCGTTTTGGCAAGACCGGGCATTTTGAAAAGGAATGCAAGGCTAGTCCCTCCTGCCCCAATTGCCAAGGCCAGCACACGGCCTTCAGTAAGGATTGTGGCTGCCCGACTTGGATCCAATAACGGGCAATCCAAGAATATACAGTGCGAAATGGCTGCTCAGAAAGATTGTCTGCCCGCCAGTTGTGACCCCAGTTGTGGCGGGTCATACGCAAAGGCAGTCCGGCCGGTCACGAGGTCGGCAAGTACTTCTACTCTACTGCCGACTTCCCTAAGCCCGCGTCAACAGGCAAGTCTCTACACTGAAACATAAAAAGGTCCCTACTATCCGTGTGGCACCCACATTTGAAGTGGGGGGATTTGGCAGACTCCCCCCCCCCACCCCCTCTTCTTCCCCTCCCCCTCTTCTATCCCTTCTTCCTCCTCACGCTCAACCTCTCTAATGGAGTGTGAGGTGTCCCCTTCTCCCCTCTCCCCAGCCCTCCCTCCTTCCTAGCCCCCTCCGTCTGCTTCACCTCCCCCTACTCCTCATGCAATCCCCCTACCTATGGACAAAGAGAGCTCCGACCCACCTCCCCGGCCTGTCCCCGGGAAAGGCGGAGCCTGTCATGCCTCCCCCAAATCCCCCACTAAACAGCCGCCCAATCCAGGACGGCAGCCTAGAAAACCCTCTGTCTCCCCTGCAAGGAGGAGTCAGAGTGTTTCGAAGCCGGGGCCTTTGTGCTCCAAATCTAAAAAGCCATCATAATGGCAGTCCTGCAATGGAATGCCGGTATAATAAGTCAAAATCACTCTATGCAAGAAACACTACCATAGTCATTTTGGCAACGCTGAAAGCACTATCAGTAGTGTTTATAGCACAGACCTTCACGCCAAAAACACTATTTCCGGCTACGCCAAAGACACTATCATTGAGCCAAAATCACTCTATGCAAGAAACACTACCATAGTCATATTAGTGGGCTGACTTAGGCCAGCAGTCCCATTACCCACTGCAAATTTTAGAAGGAAGGAACCACTTGGCATGTAAGTATATTACACCATATCATTGGAAAATAGAAACGGACACAAGGTCCACAAGCATATTCAGGCCCTCATTTGCATAAATTAAAAATGGCCGCCACTGAAATATAATGAAAATGATAACTGGATATAACTTTTGACAGACAAATGGTAGAATATTAATTTTGGTGTTGTTTCATATTAATATATGGCTGGCAAACTCAATGACACCATCAAAGTTATAATAAAAGGTCAAATTCACTCTTAACCTGCATAAATGAAAAATGGCCGCCACTGAAATATAATGAAAATGATAACTGGATATAACTTTTGACAAACAAATGGTAGAAATATAAATGTGTTGTTTCATATAAATATATGGCTGGCAAACTCAATGACACCGTCAAAGTTATAATAAAAGGTCAAATTCACTATTAACCTGCATAAATGAAAAATGGCCGCCACTGAAGTATAATGCAAATACGAACCGAATGTATAACTTTTGACAGAAGAATGATAGAAATATAAATGTGTTGTTTCATAGTAAGTTCTGGCTAACAAACTCAATGACACCCAATGAATTATCATAAAAGGTCAAATTGATTCTTAATTTGCATACATTAAAAATGGACGCCTTGAAAAATTTAAAAAATTACGCACAACCATAATTTTGGGAAGTTGCTAGGACTACACATGTGGTTTTGTTTTTGTAATTTAAAATCCCTTTAACAGGCCAGGTTCACCCATATTTTGCCTATTCTTTCAATAGCCAATGCGTTATGTTCACTGATATGTACACATTATTTTCATTGATTGAAACAAGCTCCCCTGCATGCACAGTAGTGGTGCAATTGATCGATCAAATTTTTCGATTAACCGAGCAAGATTCTTGGTCGAGTAAATCGACCAAAATGGTTTCTTGAC